GGCGGCCGCCTCGTCTGAGGTCCGCTCCATCCCTGATGCATTCGAAGTAGTCGACATATCGAATGCCTGCAATTCGTCTGACAACAAGCGGGTGATCAAGCCGTTGCGTCAGCTAAGAGAACAAAGAGAGAAAAAAATAACTCAAAAAAATGTGAGGTATCCGGCGCTCTACGAGCTCGCGTTGTCGATTGGGTGTCGATAGTCAAGCGAGAGAGAGAGTGAGAGCGGAGATACACACGAGAGCGTCGAGACGCGAGATGAGTAGTAGTGTCTCGAATTCTCGAACAGCTGGGGCTTTCCCCGAGTAGGTACAGGGTTATTTATACTAGTGTAGGATAATATTAAGTAAGCTGAAAAGAGAGAGAGAAAATGAGATGGTGAATGAATAAGCGAGTCTGGGCTACGATAGGAGTAAGGCGGTTGTCGGACGGCGTCCGAGAACCGAATAAGGAAGCGAGAGTTCCGTTTTTGGGGTAGTAAGCGCTGGCCCTCTTACACACTCCCTCACGCCCTCGCCCGATGGTAGCCGTATCATATCACGTTCAAGGGGGTCCATCGTTGTCTGGGATGCGAACGTTGTTACAGGCAAGTGGTAGATTCTTCTTTCTGAACCCTAAGCTGAACATAGAGATGTTGTTTCCAGATCCCTCGAAAGCTCAATATCCCTCCTTCATCAATTTCAAAGCTATGACAACACGCTCGGCCGAAGATCGGTCCGAGATTTCCACTACTCCGACATTCAAAACGCAGGACGGGTGGATAATAGATATGGATGATAACCTGGTGATATGGGTGCCAGATGAGTATCGCGATGCTCTGTTATGGCGAGGGATGCTCTTCTTCATTGGGCGTGAGGCACTCACCATCGACTTCGCAAACACTTACCACGGGACGGAGTGGGCGAAATGTTATCAGCCTCAGACTACCGCATGACTCTAGCTATCTCAGCTTCTCCTCAGGGCATGTATCCTTGCTCCTCCACTTTCCTCCTGAGTCTCGACCTAGTATTAGTGCCTCGCATCTTCGGCAGGTGATAGTAGCCCCTGGAGCGATGCATACTTATGTAACCCGTGGTACGGTGTGACTGATTGTATATAGTCGAATCGTTGGAGAACCCTGTATGACATCACTACTTCGTGTGTTGAAGCCAAGTGGAAGAGCGTGGCAGTCTTCGGCGCGCATTCAGAGCAATGGCAGATTCACCATATGCAAGTCAATTGATACTGCATCCTTTCGCACCCCTATGCTGCCAATAATCAAGATATGATCTGCAACGAGTTCTGGCGGGCAAGCGAGTATGTCGAATCCTCTCTAGGAACACGAACGATGTAGCGGGACTATAATCGTAGTCCAACCGGATACACGTTTCACCGGCAGCCAGTCACAACGGCAACAGCCCCACGGCAAGCGCGGCCGACCATGATGACTACATGCCTATTGCAGTAAGCTTGTCCTCTTAGTGCTCGACGGTCTCAAGAAAAGGCCCCATATGCCTTCTCCAACTGCCTGTTAGTCTCATTGTTCATGCTTTTGACTACTGCTGCGAACGCGCGGCGACCCCTCTGCTTGATTAGCATTGATTCTTTGTACATCGCAGCATCCGGTTGGTCGTGGAGCCGGCTCTTAATGTAGGCGACCGTTTGGTTCCGCAGCCACTGAGGATTGCTCGAGTGCCGGCCGACCTAGGGACGACTGCGTCGCAAAGGTCAGCAGAAGTGCGTGAGTACAGGAGGAAGCGAACAATGGTTGATGTACTTCTACGAGGTTTCGAATGCGCGGCGAGGTACTTATTCTAGCCCGGTGCGTCTGGAGTGGCGGTAAGGGTGTTTCGTTGTTGTCCGCTCAGACCCCGCTGCGGCTCCCTTTCCTGGAGGCTGGCAAGCGTGAGTCAGCTCACGATTCTCGAGGGAAGAAGTAGAGGAGATAAACCTAGGCGTCGTTATCGTGCATGGTGCCCGTGTAGCGGTGCGAAGTGTGGTGGCAGCGCTGCGGGGGACAGGATGCAGGCTGAGCGCTGAAGGCTAGGCAATTGCATAAGAATGCTCTGAGGTCGAGTGCTGACGTGGAGGAAGGAATAAAGATGGTCACGGTCCACGAATATGGGGGAAGGGTGCGGGCTGCACCAGCGAGAGGTCTTCGACCGGCGAGTCTGGCGTGTTTAACATGCACCGCGTCACGCCTCACACCACCCATCGCCTATAGTGCGAACACCACCAGCATCGAGTCTTGGGTGGCTCCCTCTGCAGCAGCTGCGAAAGGCGGAAGGGAGCTGGGAGGGCGAGCGAGCTTGAGCTTGAGTTCTTAGGATAAGACGGACCATCTAAGAGCGTCGAAGGATGATGTTGGATAGGACGCCATCGTTTGGCGTGCACCGTGTATGGAAGGAGACGGAAAGGCAGACGGCGGTACACAGCTTGGAGATCTTTTCGAGTGTCGATCGTAGCTGGTCAAGCAAGCTGCATTTGCCGCCCTCTGAGACCAGGATCTGGAGCTACTCGCGCTGTTGGCCCTTGGACAAGGCCGGCCAACTGTGCGAAGACTTCAAAAGGCCGCCGGATCGGGAAAAATACGCACCGGCAGAAGGAGTCAGTTGACATAGTTCCAGAACGTACACCTGACTTCCTGTTGAACTTGGACTTATCCGGTCCGGACTACACGAGGCTATGCGTCTCCTAGCGCTTAGCTGTAGTCGCTTATGTAGTATGTTACCATATTTGGGACTCTCTGCTCGTGTACTATAGCTATGCTTCCGGACTCTTCTGGTACTGTCTAGGACAATCCGTACTACTCCAGAACGGTCTAGACAGGTCTATG